AGAACTACGACGACGATCTTTATTAGATTAATGGAAATTGAATGTGATTGGTTTAAGGGAGAGAGAGGAGGTGGTAGGTGTGGTGTTCTTGACGAGACGCCGTACGCCAACTGTCGCCTGCCACTCGTAGTGGAGCGATTTGTCTCAAATCACCCATCATATCGTTGAAATCGCTTCACGAGTCTCATACTAACTCGCATACGTTTTCTACCTTTCACGTCCACATATAGCACGTATAGCAGCTTTTTTTCTCACTGTTGTAACCGATTTTGCACGTTCTATAGTGGTTGAATATTTGAACTATCTGGATTACTATGTCCATGGCTGCGTTCTTCTAGGTACCGACTGTAGTTTGTTGAAAACGCATACACGGCAGAACAAATCACTCCTTTTCAGCTCGTTTTAATTCAAATAGCTGACTTATCTTCTCAAAAAATGTTAGTACTGATTTCATAAAAGCACCTTCAAGTGCACAATTCGTCACAAAATAAATAAGTGCATGTCATACGTTTTTGCAGCTGCACCATATATGTACACGCCTTAAATTTTTCTAGACTCTAGCCGGATTCCAATATTTTTTCCGTTTTTCACTTACTGCTTCACTACTGCCTACTTAGTAGTTTCATAACAAAGGTAACCCATTAGTAGCTCTTGGTGAGATTTCGAAGAAATACGACTTTTCTAATGCCACTTCGATTCATTCGAAAATTCACCAAGCTTTGCTGATGCTAGTAAGTAAGTAATTGAGAAGAAAAAGGAAGCCTTTCTAGTTTTCGTAAGAGGTGCTTTACATTTTCTCTTTTTCGACGATAAGAGAGCAAGCGGCAGCTCGTTATACGCTCCCGTATGAGAAGGGAGCTTGCTTATTTCAAACGACAACGAAGTGTCTATCATAACAGTTCAACCTCATGACTCTAGGGATTTTCCTGAATCAGTGCACAAGATACAACAAATACGTGTAAGCTCACAGAAGACAATATCCATGAAGTTCACTCTGAACTAGTTTTTTTTATTACATAAAGTGTACGCATGGAGAAGGTATAAGCCAGTACCAAATAAAGACATGTTACGTAGGTGAGTGACTAGAAGACTAGAGATTTTGACCTTAGGGTAAACGCGCAGCAATTGGGATGTACAGTTTATTACAGTTCTATTTGATTCGTTAACACATAAATACAATTTATACTTTGAAGAAATTTTTGCTTGAGGAACACAATAGTTGAAGCATAGAGGAACACTTTCTATTCTTTCAGTGCGGTATACAATCTTCTCGAGTTTTTCAGCTTACTTTTAAACCAGAATTCCCTAAACACTTTTGAATAAACCCGAGTAGGTCAAAATAACTGCAAGCTTCACCAAAACCATGGTTCTCAGGCAGCTCTTCAATGCTAGTGATTAATGATGTATATATATAT